CAGGATTGCTCCAAATCACTGCGTAGCCATTTCTGTCTTCATCACAGCGTCCAGGCTCTGTGCTCTTGCTTGATTCCAGAAGGCCACACCCTTCTATGCTGATGATGTGGCTTTTCAAGGACCAAGGAAACGGGAAATGGGCCCTAGCTGCCAGACCTGTGGGGACTTTGGCGCAGCATGGATATGAGAAATTCTGATGGCTAAGGTGTCCTGAGGACTGACTCTGGGCCTGGTGTGTTGGGGAATTCAGCAACCATCACCTCCCTGCATCCACACAGCAGTCTTCCAGGGTCAGTACCATCTTAGGCCCATTTTAGAGATGGAGAAAAGGAGGATAAGCAAGGATAAGTAGCTTCCCCCGGAGCCTACGCCCTTAGCACATACTGTATTCTGCATGGAGAAAGAGAGAGAGAGAGAGAGAGAGAGAGAGAGAACATAATAGTCACCATCATTCAATCAAAGTCATAATCACTCTTGGTACTTTTCCATAAATATGGTATTTCCGCCCATATTTATAAGTCCAAATTTTTAACATGATGAAATCATAGGTCTTTAAAAAAAATTTATTATTTTAAAGATGTGAGGTACAAGTCAGGGTTAGGTATACACATGTTCATTATGCAGGTGCCTTGTTGATGAGCTGTTCTCCCCCTCCCCCTGGCAGTTTCCCACTACTGCCAATCCCTTTCTTATAGTATTACGATAATTGTTCAAGGTCCACTTATGAGTGAGAGCATGTGATACTTGGTTCTTTGTTTCTGTGATAGATCACTCAGGAAGCCCATCCAAGTTGCTGTGATGTTCATAATTTTGCCCTTCTTTATGATGGTGTGATATTCCTTCATATATATATATATATGATATATATATATCACATTTTTTTAATCCAGTTCTCTTTTGATGGGCAGCACGGTTGGTTCCATGTTTTTGCTATTGTGAATAATGTTGCAATAAATATGCGTGTGCAGGTATCTTTTTCGTAGAGTGATCTGAGTTCCGCCAGGTATATTCCCAGCAGGGGGATTGCGGAGTCGTATGGAAGGTCAATTTTTAGATCTTCTAGGAATTGCCACACTATTTTCCACAGAGACTGTACTGGGAAATCATAGATTTTAAATGTGATTTTCCTACTGACTTTTTCACTCAATTTGATGTCACCAACATTCTCCCATATCATTAATAACCCCCCATGAGCATAATTTTTAAGGCTGAGAAATAGTTCATGATATGGATGTGCCTCTCGTTTTCAATGCATTGCTATTACAAAGATCGCTGCAGTGAACTTCTTCAGACATACACGTCTGGTGCCTTTCAGATTTTTCCCAGAGTGGAATCACTGAATCAGTGGACCCTTCATCCTTTGTTGAGTGACTCTTCCATGCCAGGTGTGGTTCCCGGCCCCAGGAGCCCAGTCCCATCAACCAGACAGCCGTGTTGCCCTCCCTCCCGGTGCTTGTGGTCTGGTACCAGAGTCAGACAAAAAGGGACCCATAATGTACGAGTTGATGTAATCAAGGCGCCACGAAGAAACCTGCAGCAGGGCAGGAGCCGGAGTCACCGGGATGGGAGGGGCTGTTTTAGACACAAGTCAGGGAAAGAATTCTTGGGCTGAGGCCTGAGGGGTGAGGCGGGCAAAAATCTGAGAGAAGAACATTACAAGCAGAGAGCCACATGGGCAGTGGTAGCAGCACCAACGCTGTTGCCAGATTGCCTGGGCTCGTGTCTCAGTGTGGTCACTGACTAACTGTGTGACCTTGGGGAAATGACTGATCCTCCCTGTGCCTCCATTGTCCCACCTGTCAAATGGGGGTGAAAATAATAGTGCCTGCCTCAGGGTGGCTATGAAAACCAAGTTCATCCATCTTTGTCACCGTGCCTGACACACAGGAAGCACCGTGTGTGTATTTGGTAAAAGAAGTGTGGATCCAAAATCTCTGAAAAGAGCCTTGAGGTAGTACCGACAGCTCTGGACACATACAGGGGCCCCCCTCCCAGAAAACGGAATTGTCTTGGGGAGAGCAGGCCCTTGTAGTACACCCAGAATTTGTTCCTCCAGATCAAACAGGCACCAAAGTCTTTATCTGGAAGTTTTGAGAAGGTTGCATCACGATTTGCGGAAGAAACGTCCCCGGTCGTGGCAAACGGGACTGGTTCTTCCACCAGGACAACGCGCTTGCCCACACCACGCTGAATGCTCAGCCGTTTTCGACCGAAGACAGCATGGCCCTGGTGTCCCACCCTTCCTACTCACCTGATCTTGCCCCAGGTAATGTATTTTGTTTCCCTGGATGAAAAACGTCCTCAATGGAAAACATTTTGCCCAAGTGGAAGAGGGGAAACCAAAAACAGCCGAAGCACTAGAAGCCATCCAAACAGGCGAGTTCAAAACTGTTTTGGGCAGTGGAAAAAGCATCTTGATAGGGGTATTGCGTCAAACAGAGAGTCCTTCAAAGGTGACTGAGGTTTAAACATGCAAGAATGGATAGACAACTTTTCTTTTGTTTTTTTTTTCTGAGTCGGAGCCTCACTCCGTCGCCCAGATTGGAGTGCATTGCCCGCTTCCGGCTCCCGCAGCCTCGACCTGCTGGGCTCCGGCGATCCTTCCGCCTCAGCCTTCTGAGTAGCTGGAACTACAGGCACGCGCTACCACGCCAGCTACTTTTTTATTTATTGTAGAGATGAGGTCTCGCCAAGTTGCCCAGGTGGGTCTCGAACCTGCGGGCTCAGACAATCCACTAACCTCGGCCTCCCAAAGGCGCGGGATTACAGGCTGAGCCACCGAGCCCAGTTGGACAACTTTTCACAAATAAATTCTGGTATTGTGGGGAGCTTCGCCCTCGTATTGCTATGCTCTCACTCCCATATTTTTTAAACTAAAAATGACCACCACTGGGTGGGTCACTCCCACCCTACAAGATCCTCAAAGCCTCTGTTGAGCTGATGGTCAGAAAACGAGTATCAGGAAAAAGACAAGAAAAGGGTCTGGGGCTCTTTAGCATCAAACTCGTTCCTTGTTCCAGAACACAAGACAGACATTCAAGTCAGCAAATATTAACCAGTGTCTCCTTCTCCCGGGGGTGAGGAGCTGGACCTGGCCACTTTCCAGAAGGTGAATTATTCTCCTTGGCACAGGCAGCTCCTGCCTTGGCTCTCAGCCTGCCAGGAAAGGAGCTGCTTGGCATGAACTAGCCTAAAACCTTCCAGCAGGTTCCAGCACTTGGTTTCCTGCATCTATGAGTCGCGTAGAGCTGCCGTAACAAATGACCACAAACTAAGTGGCCTAAACCACACAGATTTCTTAGGAGAGGAATCAACCACGACCTTCCAGGGCTAAATTCAAGGCGTCGGCAGGTCTGCCTTCCTGTTGGACGCTACAGCAGAGAATCTTTTGCCTCACATTTTCCAGCATCTCGGGGAAGCTTCTCTGGGCCCCCAGCTTCCGTCTTCAAAGTCAGCAACGCTGCGTCTCTGTGCCTTTCTTCCACCGTCACCTCTTCCACTGGCTGATCTTCTACTTCCCTCTCCCATACTTAAGGACCTTTGTGATTGTACTGGGCCCACGCAGACTGTCCAGAATAATCTTCCCGTCCTGAGAGCAGCTGACTAGTAGCCTTGGGACATCTCCAAGGGCCCTCTTTCATGGTCAGGTAAAATATCGGCAGGTCCCCTGCAGAGTGGGAAAAAATATTTGCCAACTGTGTATCTGACAAAGGCCTAACATCTAGGATCTACAAGGAACTCACATGCACCGAAAGAAAAAAAACAAACAGCCCCTTTAAAAAGTGGGCAAGACATGAATAGACGCTTCTCAGAAGGAGATATATGGGCAGCCAACAGACACATGAAAAAGTGCTCAGCCTCACTTATCATCAGAGAAATGCAAATCAAAACCACCTTGAGATACCACCTACCCCAGTAAGAATGACCATCATGCATAAAACAAACAACAACAGATGCCAGCGAGGATGGGGAGAGAAAGGAACGCTTCTACACGGCTGATGGGAACGCAAACTAGGGCGACCTCTCTGGAAGACAGTGTGGCGATTTCTAAAAGAACTAGAAGTTGACCTTCCATATGACCCAGCAATTCCCCTATTGGGAATATACTCAGAGGAACTCAAATCATTGTACAAAAAAGATACCTGCATACGTATGTTTGTTGCAGCTCTATTCACAATAGCAAAAACGTGGAACCAACCATACTGCCCATTGAAACTGGCCTGGACAAAAAAAAATGTGGTACCTCTACACAATGGAATATTGTACAGACATAAAGAAAGACAAACAGATGGACTTCGCAGCCACTTGGATGGATTTAGAGTCGATCATACTCAGTGATCTATCACAGAAACAAAGAACAGAGTTCCATGTGTTCTCACTCATAAGCAGACCTTGAACAATTATAATACTATAAGAAAGCGTTTGGCAGT